CCCCAAAACCCCAAAACCCCCATCGGATAATTGATTAAAAATAGTTGTAAAACAAATACTTGTTTAAATTATAAGTTATTGAAATTTGAATAATGGAGTCAAGAGTACAAAATGAATATGAACCAGAAAGTGAGGAGGATCAGATTAAAGATTTTAATGCAAAGGAGTTGAAAGTATTGAGATATTTGCAATAAATGTATTAATTAGGCATATAATGAGATGAGGGAGATAAGCAGGCAATATGTTCTCGAAAAAGTTGAGAATTAAGGAGCACATCCAATGTTTTTAGCTGTTGATTAGCAAATCAGATTCCTCAAGGCTAGAGAATTTGATTCAAAGAAAGCCTAGGAAATGTTTAGAAAGTGGGTTGTAAGACAAATTTTTTAAGTAAAACTTTATCTTCATAGGACTGGAGGTTGGAATTTAAAGCAGACTAAATTGACCCAGAATCGATCAGAAATTTGTTGTTAAGAGAGACAATAATACTTCACAAAAATGATAAGTTGAATAGGTATTGCATAATAATTAGAGCTAGATTCCATAAGCCCAAAGAACAAACAATAGAGGAGCTTATTAGATATGGCATCTACCTAATTGAGTAAGCAACTATAAGGACAGAGAGAATGGGATCTAAGTAATTATCTGTGATATATGACAGAGACGGAATGACGAGTGATAATAGGGATACTCAGCTTATGAGTTTTACCACTAAATTTGTATCATTATTGTAGGATTTTTACGCTGAAAGACTGTCGATGGTCTATGTTCTCCATGCAAATTGGCTTTATAAACTAGCTTATGGAATCATCAAGCCATTTCTAGCTAAAAAAACTAAGGATAAGGTAAAGAATATAATTTTTAGCTAATGAATTTTGTAGATAAAAATTATTGGTGAAATTAAGGACCTTGCCTAATATTTTGATGAAGATTGTCTATTGCCAGAGCATGGTGGAACTAGTGACTATTAATATGATCCATTCCAGGAATATGGACTGACGAGATCAGATAGTAATTGATTTAAATCAAATCAGACTTAAATTAATAACATCACCCATTTAGATTTACACTTCACAAAATATACTATTGATTTAAAGTGATGGGGTTTTGGGGTTTTGGGGTTTTGGGG